CCTCATCTGTTCTTACGAATTTATGATACCAATAAATTCATGACTCGTTATTTCTTATACTTACGCCGCTACCTTTTGCTGTGGTAGGGCCATGTGGCAGCTCCCGTTGCACGGATGGGCAGGCTCGCTCGGCGGAGAACAAGAATATCGCAGGAGACCGGTGTGAAGTGGTAGTATTATATATATACTTATTACTTTCGCGTTACATCTGATCCCCACTTATTAAAACGTCGCAGGCAACGAATCTGCAACGACCAACTGCTGTAGATGTTTCTGGGTGGTTGTAATCACTTATCGTCAGGTGAACCACCAGCCGTCTTGTCAGTAACTTCAACATAATGCGATCTGCCTCAATATACATTGAGCAATAGTTTAATTTAAATTTTTATTTCTTGTTGTAGGGCCACGCAGCAGCTTCGGCTGTTGCACGAATGGGCAGGCTCATCCGGGTTAGTACCAGGAACTCACAGAAGACCGGCGTGAAGTGGAAGTATAATACTTTCGCGTTTCGTCTGTTGAGTGATGTAGCCGGAGCCCAATTTCCAAAAGGTTGTCAACGCATCTGTAGCCCTCGGGTGTAGCAGATGTCCATGGGCAGTGGTATTTACTTAACATCAGGTGAATCGCTTGCTTGGCAACTTAAAAAAAATATTTTATTTTATACACCAACTAACAACTTTTATTAAAGGTAAACACCTAATGCGATAGTGAAGTCGAATACAATTTAAGATAAAATATAACTAAACTAAAACTAAACACTGTGGATATGGAATGTAGCCAGTGTGAACTCGTTCTATAAGCAATTGAACTAATTATAAAAAACTAAAATCTAATTGATTGTTTAGTGTACAAAGCGCGCGAGTCAGCTTTCGTAGTCCAAATCTTCACACTTGCTTGTTCGATATGTCGGATATATTGAACAAGCAAGTTTTAACCGGATATCTTATATGCGGTTACCCATTCTTTAGTCGTATTATTTTATTTAATTAACATCAATGATATTATAACACCAATGACTACACTAGTTAGGCTGCGAAACTCTGGGGATCAGACGTCGACAACCTCACTCGCCAGAACAAACAGTGATACTTTAACTACGGTTTTCCACGCTTACTTGCTACTCCACCGCAGAAATACAAGATAATATTGACCCGTAAAAATTTACAGCACAGAAACGCATGCTTAAATAATTCTTCGACGCGTCACCAACCCTAAACGCGTCCGGGCCATCAATATAACAATTTGGAGGGATCGTTTCAACAGCTATAAATTAGATGAGTTAACGGCTGTTGACTCGGGGCCAGAGCCTGCCCACAACCGCTGCGCCTAAGGGTACTTGCTTTGCTCGATGCTATCAGATTATTGAGTTTAAATTAAATGATATCGGCGATTGTTTGTGTGAGATCATTGATTGGGTTTTATAATACTTGTGAAGCGACTCTGAATTCCTGTGGAGCAACGCTATTGGGAAATAAGTTTGTGGTCGATTTGCTTTTTATTATTATTATTCGTTATATTTTACCAAATATACGTTAGTAGTTGCGGCCCGCGACTACGTCTGCCTAGAATAGGCTGACGGCGTAACATTCAGACAGATAGACAGGTATACATAAAATATGTATATAAATTATAGCCTATGTCTTATTCTGATGTATAAGCTATATTATTGTAAAGTTTCATTAAGATCAATTCGGTAGTATTTGCGTGAAAGAGTAACAAACTGCCATCCATACATACAAACTTTCGCCTTTATAATATTAATACGGATTTTGATTATGATTTTAATAGTGGGCTCCGGCTACCTCACTCACCAGTACTGTAACACTTCCAACTAACGCTGGTCTCCGACTCACCAGACGAAACGCAGAACACCACACACTACCACCTCACAACGTCACACTGTTCTTCTGTGAGGTCGTGGTACTTCCTCGGATTAACCTGCCCATGGATGGTTTATTGTTCATCCGTTCATCCGTTACAGTAACCCTCCACAGTGTAAGTTAAACATGCATTCATCTGTTACAGTGAGCCTACACAATGTAAGTTCAGCACGGCGTCGCCTGCGCCCGACGTCGAATTGAAACCCGACAATTCGTGATAAAAAAAATCGACGGCCGTCACGCCCCGGGATCGTACGGACCGATCATTATTTTATGGGCCCAATTTGCCCCTAAAGGCGGTTATTAGGGCCAATATCGGGCCAATTATAGGCCTTCTCGGAACCTACGAGCTCGCACGCCGATTAAATAATAAGTTCGACATAATCAACGTGTTGGGATGTACGTGTTTTCTATCATTTGATTACATTGTTGGTACAGAAGATAGTTCACGATTCTGCTAAGGGAATCCAGTTTATAAATAGCTAATGCCGAAATGTCGGGAACAAACATCTCTATATTTTATTATATCCATTTAAGAGCGTTTTATGTAAGAAGAAAGCAAGAGGTGGTGGTTCACCCGATATCTTATCCTTTAAACGAGCAATTCTTGTATATATATATATATATTATTGGAATCTCGAAAACGGCACCAGCGATTTTCATGAAATTTAGTATGTGCGTAGATTCAGGGGCGAAAAATCGATCTAGCTAGGTTTCATTTTTAGAAAATGTCCCTTTATCCCTGTTTTCAGGGAATGAAAAATATAATTCGAATATGACGGTAGTTTTCGCCGCAAAAGAAAATGTCATAATACCTCGGTCGGTAATCGGGCGGCCCCAAAACAGACGGCCGTGGTTCGCGTCACGATCATTTATTTACACATGTATTTTTTTACTTTTTTTTCGATTCCAGATCATTGCTTTCTTTATTTTTATTTTTTTGTCGATTTGTTATTTTGTTATTTTTTTCCCTTTTTTTTAAAGTTCTTTCTTTTGTGAAGTTCATATCTTCTTATTATTACGTCGTTAAGATCGAAAAATATTATGCATATTTCATTACGCAGTAATTTGTATCTAAATGTAAAGTCCAAAATATACGATGTACCAAAAAAAAAACATACCGAGCAAAGCTCGGTCCTCCGGGTACTTATATTTTATGTGTGTATATGTTCAAGTAATTATATAGTAATACATAATACATATAAATATTTTAATGTAATAATTGCACCTACCACGATTTCTCACCACGCCCCGGGTTGACCAGGAGAGAATGCCAAAAGGCATTAAGTTCGTCCTTTGTAATCCTTTTTATTTAAAGGTTGCAATAAAGTATAAATTAAATTAAAATAAAATAATATTGAGTGATAACCACCGCTCATGGACATTGCAACACCCGTAGTAGGATCTAGTCTAGATCCTTATGTAATTTTTTCACACCATAAACATAGTATAGACTCACTTCTAGAAGATTTACTGTTTTGAGTTAACTATCTCAAAAAAGCGTTCAAAAAGTATGCAATGGTGAATTGCGCACAATCTCTCGCAACTTGTTCAAATATTTACTAACGCCTCTATTACAGGCCATTACGGGCTCGCGTGACTGTCTTGTACGGTCAGCAGCGAGATTTTAAAGAAACATTTTGCGTGCTAAAATACTGTAGGTGACAAATTAGGGTCTCACGACGTTTTTCTTATTTATTGCAGTTATAATTCTAAATTAAGGGTTATTTTTGCATATCGTAGATAGTCTAAAACCTTGAATTGTAATTTAATTTAAAATACGATATAAGGTTGTAATTACACTTTTTATGATACAATGATATGACACTATTATACAATTTCTAAAGAGACAGGACCGGAGTATTGTGTTTGTTTCTGTTTATATGTGTATTGTGTTTGTTTCTGTTTATAAAACAAAACTCTGATTCAAACAAAAATGAAATTCCTCGAAATATTGAGGCAGAACTGAAGATCCCTACAATTGGTGCATGAACTTATAGAGGGTGTATATATGTGTTTATATCAAAAGTATTCAATTTCAAAATAATATTCACAGTGTGAGTTTGGGCTGTATTATCCCTTAACATCCCTATAGTCTACTCTACAGTCTGTTATTGACCTTTATAGTTGAAACTCTACAGAGTTTAGCAGCAAAAACTACAGCTTAGTATAGGTTGAAATGTATGTCCAAAAATCAATTTAAGACGAGTTTGCAACACAAAAGCTATTAAAATAGACGACGAATGTAGGTCGGTTCGATTAAAGAAGTACAAATGCGCCACATTATTTTGCATTTCGTCTTACGAGTGAGGTAACAATGGGTCTGCTTTCAAAGGCTGCACACGATGACATTAAGACTTTTATTATTTATTTGTTTAAGAAACACAGTTTACAAACATACATTAAACTGACAGAATTTTTTTTTTACACATTTTTTTATACAACATTCTCTAGTCCCAAACTAAGCAACGCTTGTACTATGGGTACTAGAAAACTGATAAACATACTTAAACATACTTTCCTTTTGTAAATAAATACATATTATACATATGAAAACACCCAGACACTGGAAAAACACTATGTTCATCACACAATATTTTTCCAGTAGTCGGAATTGAACCCACAGCCTCTGACGCAAGAGGCAGGGTCACTACTCCCCACGCCAAACGGGTCGAGTAACACACTATAAACAAACATCTATGGGTAGTTATTAAACTTACACAAACATTACTCATAAGAGTTTTACCGTGTAACAATATTAACATACTATAGTTATGGACCGCTTGTTTCTTTTTTTTATGTGCAAAGTTATCGAGTTAGCGGTTCACCTTGTGATTAGTCACTACTACCACTCAAGGACATCCACAACACTTGAGGGCTTGCAGATGTATTGACACCCTTTAAAAAAATCGACTCCAGATGGCTCGCTGAACAGGCGAAACAAAATAGTATACTCCCAATTCACGCTGGTCTCTGTCTATTAGTGCAAAAGCAGAGGCTGTTACGTGGGTTAGACATGGTAACTCGTCGCGTGTATTTATAACAACTATTTTGGACACAAACTAGCGTGCCGACCGTACGCTGGAAGTCGGAAATGTGTTACGCCGACAAGCACTCTCATGCAGCCGCATAGCTCTGGAACCACTCGCCTAATAAGCGGGCCGCTGCTAAAACCACCACCGGCCTGGGGCCACCACTACTCTACACGTAACGGCTCGAGGGTACGCGAATCAAAGAGCGCAATAGACTCAGTATATGCCCGGTTACTTTTGTCGAGTTGTTACCAACATTAGGTTGGACTTGTTGACCCGTGCGAAATTCTATCGCGGTAAAATTGACCAAACAAAAACCGACCTCAAATACCTCGCTCTGTATTCGTTTTATAATTGATTTTCAGGAGTTCCCCGAGTGTCTACGGAGCCAAAGATCCAGTACCGATGAACTTAATATGGCACCACATGGGAAGCACCAGCTTTCAAATAAGAAAAAGAATCAAAATTGGTTTTACCCAGTCGAAAGTTCTGAGGTAACAAACATAAAAAACAGTCGAATTGGGAAACACCTCCTTTTCGAAGTCGGTTGACGGAACGGTAATGTAAATGCGTAAACAAGCATTAACGGGGCAGTGAAACGCGTGCTATCTCATTCGACTATATGTACATTTATATCATTCTATCTTCATTCTTCTATATCATTATTATTTACAGATCGACATATATTGCGTACATCTTGCATCAGACCCCTCTTTTTTTTTTATGGCTCTCTTTGTATCGGGATGAAATGTGCTTTGAGCAGCTTATACGCTTTTCGCATCGCAAATTTCATTTAAAATAAGCCGTTACTTTGAAGTGTAGACAAACGCGTTCTCAAATTATTTCGTAATCAAGTTTCTTCTTCATTTTTGTCTCTTCAATCGACACTTAAATACATTATTCGTTCCATCGCTCTTTTATACGTGGTGGTGGTGAAAAGGATTTGTGGGGCATAAAGAAGTGCTTATTTGCAAGTAAAGTGGAGATTTGAGAAGCGGCGTTTTACACCAATCCCACAATCGCTCATACATTGCAATCTGCCATGCGAATGAACCGGGGTTCGCTTTTATAAAGGTTGCTAACGCATCTGTAACCCCAATGATGTTGTAGATTTTCATGGTGGGTGGTAATCAACGTCAGGTAGGTAAACATCTTATACAATGAAGTCGCATGTGAGTAGTACACCATAATATACGAAAGAAAAATGAATAATAAATGAGCATAGTACTCGCCACTAGGTTTCCAAGTCATGGCTTAACGGATCGAAAGCCAGCGTTGCTACCGTTAAAGGCAACTTAACAACAACCCTGGTCTTGTAGATCACTTAACATCACTTGCACTCGATCGCTCGTCGTTTTCTCACAAAAAAAAAACCTCAATACAGCAACGAAAGCGGCCACTCCACTCCTGCCCTCGCACTTAATACAAACAACGAATCATCGTTAACGAGTAACCGATAACGGTGCGGCGACGATCCGCCAACGGGTCGGCGCAACGTGCACCGATTAACCCAAACCGGTGCCCAATAAACGCGCGTAATTGGCCCCCCGAACGAATTACCATCGACACTCGTGATGGGAGAGAAGGCATCGGAACGCCGTCACTTATCGGCGTCCGAGCGCGGCCGGCCGGTCTGCGGCCGCGAGCGCCGTAAGCCGGGTAGGGAAGGGCGCGTATCGCCCGACTTATCGACAACGGGATCTCGGCGCGCGGTAATCGGCCACTTACGAATCCCGCGCCCCGGCGAGGTGTCAATTTGGCGGAGTTATGAAAGTGCGCCGTTCTCGGAACTATTTGTTTTGGGCCGTTCGGGATCGGGTTGGCGCGAAACGAATCACGTACGTACATCGATTGGGACGCTGAGCGGGCGTTTGGTTTAATGCGCGTTTTATTGAATGCCCTTACGGTTCGGGATGTGAACGTATATTTCTAGAGTTCTGATGATATTTGATGTTTACGGTTATAATTAATGATGTGGTTTTATTTATTGGTATCATCCATATATTCAGTACATAAGTCTAATAAATAACGCTCATGTTAAAGTACAGGGTTTTGAATATACCTTGAGACATATATTTATATAACTCATGTTTTCGCTTTCAGTCCTATAAAATGCTCAAAGAAGCGTCTTCTATATACCATTCGTTACGCTGTATTTTTGTTTCTTATTTCATATCAAAACTAATACTTGTGGAATAACATGTGAAGCGTTATTTAAAATAATATAAATAATAGTCTCTAACATGCCGAAGATTAATAATTGGCAACAATTTCATATATTCTTTTTAACAATAGACTGCAACAAAAAATAAATAGTTTTTTAACATCGAACTATTCAATAAGTATAAAACTGTATATCGATAAAAACATCGACTACCGCGCCATCACTAGCGGGCCGAACGAGATTTATGTCCCATCATTACTTATAAAATATTTCTTTTAAGCGTATAATTAGCTGTTATTAATATTATAAATAACACACGAGTGGGCCCTAAGGGCACCAAATATTAATACGGGCCGAGTTAATTTGGACGCGTTTGCACCGTAGCCGGCACTTAGCCGGTGGAGTCATGCTTTCTTCATCTCGACTTTGGTTGGTTGCCTTTTGTATTATCTGTTGTTTATATTATCTGTGAGTTATATTCATAATTAAGTGTACACAGATTATATTGGCGTAGGGTTTTAACGTTAGCTAAATTGATAAGCTTCCTTTATTTTGGTATTCAGAGTAGATAATAGAATCAAAATAGAATTCTTCTCAAAGTGGACAGTTCCGACCTTTTATGATCATAATAATACACCAACGTTCCAAAGGATAAAGCAAAAACCATACGGAAATAATTATATTCTTGCAATTGGCAAAATATTTAGATTACTATATTGAATGAAATACAGTACCTACCGCAAATCAAACAACAAACGTCGAAAATTTCTCTCTTAAACCATAATCATATTTGAGATCACTTCGACGTAATAAGGCTTGAAGTGGAGGTGTTAACTTTCGTCTGCTGAGTGAGGTAGCCGGGGCCCACTTTATTAAAAAGTGGCAACGCATCTGCAACACTACGGTTGTTTCCAATGTCCATAAGCAATGGTCATCACTGAACATCAGGTGAACCGCCAGCTCGCTTGCCAACTTCTAATGTGAAAAAAGTAGTTTACTAAATAAATACAATATTCACTACATAGTGTAAAACAAAGTCGTCCCGCTGTCTGTCTGTCCCTATGTATGTCTATCTTTAAAACTACGCAACGGATCTTGATACGGTTTTTTTACTGGATAGAGTGATTCAAGAGGAAGTTTATATTTATGTATACATTGCACCCGTGCGAAGCCGGCGCGGGTCGCTAGTTTGATATAAAAATCATGGAAATAGCGGAAATTTATTACAAACCGACTATCTAGTTTTGATTTAATTATAAAGACTGGTTACCCACCCTTATGGAGAACAAAAAAAAAACGTTCAATCAATGCATCATTTGCTACGGAATATTTTCCGTTTCCTGTCGCGTGAAACAAATTGTTCACATAGAAACAAATTTACGAGCGTTATTCCAGCTTTTTTGCTAAAGTGCAATCAATTATTGGGAATTAAAGGCGATAAAATTTCCAAATAACTGCCACTCTCTCTGCGGAATTCGCGTATATGTACGAGATTCGGCCAATTTCGCTGCAGGACCGCCCGAAGATCTCCAAAGGATGGTCGCCATCCGAAAACCACGAAAATTACCCCTTGCGTAAGGTAATTTGCGAAAACTGACAGCCCTGACCACAAACATGCAAAACCACATGTCGCCAATTGAGACGAAATTGGACTTTATTGCCATAAGCGTAAAAGTCAACGCGAACGCATCCCTATCGTTGCGATATATGAGGTATCTTTCCAATCGGAACAGTCGATTTTCGACTTAGCGCTGTACGAATAAAGTCTAAAGTCGAATGACAATTGCAACACGTTTATAATCGAATCGACAAATATTGCGTTAGCGCGAACCCATTATTGAATTTACTTTATATAATAACGGTTAATCACTCGAAAGTATCGAATGTGCTTGTTACGGTGGCGTAGTGATGTTCCAGGACTGCTATCGATAAATTAAAGCAAGATTCAAATTTAATTTCAAATTTTTGATTAAACTGCCATTTCTCCACTCTACTTGCCTAAATGCAATAAAAAATAGTAGATAAAACGTGAAGCTGTTCGCGCGGTATCGATAGCTCCAAAGTAAACTGCCATAAATGAAAATATCAAATTTTACAGAAGAGAAGTTTAAGGTAGCCAGAAAGGTATTTTGGGTCAAAATCTTGTAAACTACTGAAGCAATTTTTTTTGAAATTTTGCAATAAGTATTACTCGTGTCATTTATCATGCTGAGACTAATTATTGTGTAATTTAAATATATTTCGAGATTTTGCACTTTAGACTTTATGCATCGTTGATTTTATTTCATACGTCTTTTATTATTCCACGTAAAAAGGCTTACGCGATCTTGCGCCCATATACGAGAATCAATATTAATGTATGATTTTATACTAAAATGTTTTTATTTTACGTTTATAGCGATCTAGGTGGAGCCCCGTTTGTAGTCGGAATTTCGTTCAATTTCAACCGACTTCGAAAAAGGAGGAGGTTCTCCATTAGACTTTAACGGTGGTAGGGCCTCGCAACAGCCTCGGCTGTTGCACGAATGGGCAGGCCCGTCCGGGTAAGTACCACGACCTCACAGAAGACCAGCGTAAAGTGGAAGTATGACAAATACTTTCGCGTTTCGTCTGGTGAGTGAGGAAGCCGGAGCCCAATTTTCAAAAGGTTGTCAACGCATCTGTAACCCTCGGGTGTAGCAGATGTCCATGGGCGGCGGTATTCACTTACCATCAGGTGAACCGTCTGCTCGTTTGGCAACTTTTCACATTAAAAAAAAAAAAAAAATTAGACTGTATTTTTTATTTTTGTTACCGCCGAACTTTCGCCTGAGTGAGCCGATTTTGAGCTCCGGAGATACTTAGGGAACTCCTGAAAATCCTTGCTAATATAAAAAAAGTAAAGTAGCAGCCTATACATGTCCCACTGCTGGGCAAAGGCCTCCTCTATACAGAGGGTATCAGGGCATAGTCCACCACGCGGCCCCACTGCGGATTGGCGGACTTCACATATCTAAGAAATATTTTTTTTGTTATTATTTCAAAAATATGCAGGTTTCCTCACGATGTTTTCCTTCACCGCGGAGCACGTGATAAGTCAGCACTTAAAGTTAAAAACTTCATTGGTGCCGGCACCGGGGATCGAACTCAAGCTGCTCGAGTATATTTAATTAAAGGCGAGCGCCCGGACACTGAGCTATCACGGCTTACTAATATTATAAAGGCGAAAGTTTATATGTATGGATGGACGTTTGTTACTCTTTCACGCGAATACTACTGAATGGATTTTAATTAAACTTTACAATAATATAGCTTATACATCAGAATAAGACATAGGCTATATACATATTTTATGTATATCTGTCTTTCTTTTTGAATGTTACGCCTTCAGACGTAGTCGCGGGCAGCAGCTAGTCAATTATAAAATGAATACAGAGTATATTATACAGATACGAGATTTTTGAAGACGGTTTTGTTTTTAGTTCTTTTAGTTTTAACTGCATTTAAGAGATTGTGGGCGTTCTAGTCTCTTAACATATTCGCAATCGAAGTCAAGTCTAGTCAAGTCAAGTCTATATTAAAAAAAATAATGACGAATAAGAGAAGTTTTTAAATACTAGTGTCGTGTATAACTAAACTGTAAACATACAGTTACTTGATACCAACGGTAACCTTTTTTTTATAATTTTTTTTATTGTTGCCAGCAGAATGCTTTATAATGTGTCTGTGTAATTCGACTAAGCATATCTTCTAAGCAATAACTAAACGTCACTAAACATTAATAATAGGCTAACCATAAATGAAATCTGTACAACTAAAGAAACTATATGCACATAGCAAATGTTATCACATTATATTCATCTTAAGTGCAGAGACTAGCGCTAAAATAAACATTAATCTTAAAAACGTTTAAAGGCAAGGGCGACATCTCTCGTTACAAATATTCAGCGTTGAATGTTATTTGTATGCTGTAAAGTGTAAATGATGCACACTAGATCTCGCCAAGCATTGTTAAAAGTGCAATAGTCCCAACTGTGGTAGGGCCGGGCAACAGTCTTCGATGTTGCACGAATGGGCAGGTCCGTCCGGGTAAGTACGACGACCTCACAGAAGACCGGCGTAAAATAGAAGTGTTACACTTCTGCGTTTCGTCTGGTAAGTTTGCGGGCCCACTTTACTTAACCGTTGCGACGCATTTGCAACCCTACAGGTGTTGCAATAGTCCATGGGCGGCGGTTATCGTTTAACATCTGGTCAACTGCCACCTCGTTTGAAACTTTCTCACATTAAAAAATAACGAAGGTAGACGAGAGAAAGATAGATGTCAAGATTTTCGCGCCGTGAGCTCATCGGCCGCTTAGCTTAGTCGGTAAAGCGTCTGGCCGCGAAAGTAGAACACGCTGGCTCGTATCCCGCAGTGCCGAAAGTTTTTGTTAAAAAATAATTATATATCTATAGTCTTTATTCTGAAATTAAAGACATACATTAAATGCAATTCAATGTCTCTTTTTAGTCAAATAATTTTAGTCAAATAATTTGGAAGAACCCGGAGGACCAAAATCGCTGGTTTTTCACAAAAGAAAGCCGTTTCCGAGAATGATCCGATATGTAAATATGATATATATATATATACATACTATATATCATGAAAATATATAGAATCCGATATATATATATATATATATATACACAAGAATTGCTCGTT